AAATTTATATTCCTTATTAACCGACTTAAAAAAACGAGGAGGTTATAATATGTTCGGCTGTATGTATGTTTTTACATAGTAAGTACCTGGCCCCGTTTCTGGGCTCTTGTCTACATTATACAAGTATCTTAATTGCCTTACCTACTATCACTTTGGGACAACGATTCTTTCTTTTGCACCAGGGAGTGAGAAAGTAGGAACGCGAGAAAAGTCCTTTATCTTTATAAAGAAAAAGAAAAATTACCCGATTTCCTAAGAAGTATCTAGGCGCCGCTAGCATAAACAAAAATGTTTTATTCACATTATTCCATTCTATAAGTTTTCATCATATTTAAACCAGCATAATAATAATTTTAGATTATAATATTATATCTGTAATTCCTAACTCAAAAATCCTTAAACCATTACCAAACCCTCAAGTTCTGTAAACGTGAAACCTGCTTGTTTCTCACGTACATCCAGTCATATGACAATAGCACCCGACACCCGATTACACGTTAATTAACCCGTCAGCCCCTGTTCACAGGAGCATAATTAAGTGCTAAATCAATTTCAGCGTACCCTTTCAATTACAGATAATTACATTATTTAGCAAATAATTTTGTTGCTTAGAATTACTAGGTACTCGTTTTTATTCATGACAAGGAACTTAGCTTAAATACGTAACATGACCACACTGAAGCATGGTTAAAACTCAAAAAAATACCATCTTATTTGTATATTAGGAACTGATGACAGCATATTAATCGAAACACTGGCATCTTATTTCGTTGTTCGTTCATTCGTTTCAGCCAAACGTCCGCTGCTGGACAAAGGCCTCCGTAAGGTTTTCCACAATGAAACGGTCCTGCGCTGCCCGCATCCAGGCTCTTCCTGCGACCTTTACCAGATCGTCGGTCCACCTAGTAGGAGGCCTGCCCACGCTACGTCTTCCAGCCCGTATTTCGTTGTATCAGTTGTTATTTTGCATCAAAAATGTGGTACTAACCTTGCGATAGAAACTCAGCGCCCGTTCCAAGAACTCGACTTCGGCGTCTCCAATGGCCTGGTGGTTCTTCGGAGTACTGGCTGTGAAGAGGCAGCAGACGGCGCCGCAGGAGACAGCAAGCATCCCCAAGGAATACATCACCAACTCCCAGCCTAAACGGGCCTCGGATATAATACCGGAGACTGGGAGGGCGACGATAATGCCCAGCAGTACACCTGAATGGAAGACGATGAGAGATTAGGAGTCACTTTTGTCAATTATCGTGAGTAAAAAGTCCAAATTCTATAGTGATGTACATGTTTACAAGAAAGAGTAGAACAGTACGTAAGAGTTTATAATTTTACGTTCATAGAAACTTCTTCAAGTTTACGAGCTGTCCCCGTAAGTTAGTTTATCAGGGCTATCTTTCGAATTTATCCTTCTGATTCGGCCATTGTGCGTGAAAGCGGTCTCCCATAAAATATACATCTTAACATTTTTCAGTTCTTAAACATGCAAAAGAACAAGAGTCTTATTTAGAATCTTGCAAAGGTTCCCAAATTCCAGAACCCCAAAAATTCAAACCAGCAGGTGGCATTTAATGAATGCAAGTTCACTCAACGATAGCACCAAAACTGTTATTACCTCCATACACGACGCGGCTGCAAGTGTTTTTCTCAGTCGGAGGCAGCCATTTTGAGATCAGCAACTGAGTGGCCGGCGCCAAGCAGGCTTGGGTCATGCCCATCATGAAGAGGGCATTGCACGTTGCTATCCACCCACCCTGGAAATTGATTTTAGAAAATTAATATGACAGAATACTTTTCGAAAGAATTTGAAGACTTTCTTGGAAGAAACAAAATGGAAAAGCTCATTAATTTCTTTTATGAAATTGTCGTATTACCTATTCATAAAGAGATACTGAAATAACTTTCAGGACCGAGTACTTAACTATAATAGTTACTTACTAATATGAGTATGGTATTGCTAGTATCAAAGAGTTTGAAGGAAAAACATCCTTGGCACTAATGCTTTTTTCATCAAAATCTTATTTATTTTCCAAGAATTAACTATAACGTTTAAAGAGTATATTATTTAGACGACAAAAACAAGGAAATAAATAAGCTAATTGCAATAGTTTTATAAGCTTACCCTATTAATGATAGTCGGTAAAGTAAAACTCAATGCCCCATTGACCAGCAGTATGATGGTCAGAGCGGCTTTTCCATCGATCCTCCTAAGGATGAGGTCTGCAGGCACTAAAGCTAACGCATGGCCAATGAAGAATGAGGATAGGACCGTTCCTTGTATTATCTTGTCCCAGTTGTCATGGATCTGAAAAATATGGTTCATAACCTTATTCAAGTTTTATTAGTTCATCATCATCATCATCATCTCAGCCATAGGACGTCCACTGCTGAACATAGGCCTCCCCCAATGCTTTCCACGTTGATCGATTGGTAGCGGCCTGCGTTCAGCGCTTCCCTGCTACCTTTACGATGTCGTCGGTCCACCTTGTAGGTGGACGTCCCACGCTGCGTTTTCCGGTACGCGGCCTCCATTCCAGTTATGACACAAAAAAATTCATGTCTCTTATTTATTCCAAAACCCTTATTACAATACATACTGGCATACAAAAAAAATAGTAAATAGGTATTATCATTTGACGCAGAGAGGATTTACTTTACTGAAGCCTCTTTTTAAATACATGGAAGTTGATAAAATTGTAAAGTTTTCCTGCCATAAAAAGCCTTAACTTGTATTCATAAATTAATTAAACATTACAATTAATTATCTATGTTGCGGAATTTGTTAATTTGTTTTGATGCTAGCACTGATAGTGCCACGCAACATTGAAATGTAACCCACCTTAATATAAGTGTCATTTTGGCGTGCTTCATCTGTCATGGCGAGGACAGCAATACCGATGCTTCCACGGAAGGTGCCCATTACAAATGCACAGACGAACATGTAAATCATTTGAATGTGACGGACCCCCAATTTGAACTCTGAAAGAATAAAACATCAAAAGGTGAACTCAAAAAGGTGTCATGAGGGGTAAGAGGCCCAATACTAACAAATGATATGAAGAATGGCGCAATACTAACAAAGACATGATGTTGAGTTCATTAAAATTTGTAATAATGAAAATTTTGAAATTTTAATATCTGGTGTACTTACACGAAAAAATTGAATACATCCAGCAATAATTTTTCGGTACTTTGCTTAGTACTTAGTACAACTTTTGACAGACAACAACTCTTTGTCGAGATTTTTATCACATCGACTTCAACCCAACGGAGACAGTCTTTCGGTACAGTGGGTTTAAAGAAGTTTACTTGATTATTTCTTTAATGATATAAATTATACTGCACTTACTGCTTTTAACAACGATTCCATCGTGGGCATCTTCATATTGGTACTTCAGGAATTCCACATCCATGATTATAATGAACTTTTCTATCACAGCCTCTTTGTTGTTCCGCACAAAACTGAGATAAAAACAAACGTTGATAAAAGGTGTATCTTACGCTGATAATAATATAATTATTTGCCAAAGGTACCATAGTAACACAAACTGATGCAGCAGGCTCAGACAAAATCTAGAGCCGTGAAAAAACACAATTAAATTAGGTGATCTAATGATTCACAAACTGAACTAAGAACAGCGGTTGGGGGAACCCCGATGCAAATGTACCTATCATGAGCTCAAGTATAATCTTTAATGACACAAGTCCAGTAGGCCTAAGATGCGCGCCGTGATAACTTTTATCGACGTCAAAATGTATGGGCAAAATCGATAAAATGGCGTGATAACCGCTTATCGCGGCGCGCAGGCCTACAGGGCTATGAACTCACTTATTAGCCAAACGATACAAGAAAAAGTTTTTGTATTCGCCAAAGTACAAGTTCAGCCGAGCTAGTGATATAAATCTTATCGATGATTTTAGACGACAAATGTAAAGGCTTATCGCGTAAAATCGATAAAATGGCGTGATAAACGCTTATTGCGGCGCGCATCCTTGGCCTACCGCTGTATTTTAGAGTACCTACTAAGTAAATAGCTGTCATAGTTAGAACATTACTTTTAATTTATTGTAAATCTCACAATAAGATTTAAACAAAAAAAATTGGATTGTTTTGTTAAAAATTGTTTTTTTTTTCTTCTATGTGTAACTACCTAGATTAATTGGTTAAAATGTGTTCTTTTTTTCTGTCGGCAAGCTTATTTTCTTTGAATGCTGTATTTACCTGTAAAGGCATATCTTTTAGATTCTAGCTTTCTAATAATGTAATGATGCATGTAAATTGAAATGTTGTTGGTAAATCTTCAACAATAAATAAATAAAATGCGTGTTAGCAAATGAAGTGAAAAAATGTCCTACAAGGTAAGCCTTCTCATTCAACTTTCATTGTTTCAGTCTTGCGTATATTTCAGTGCTAACTGAAGGTAATCAGGCTCTTGAAAATAAAACAACGTATGTAAATCAATATTAGAAGAAAGCCATTATGTACTTTATGATATAAGTCTTAGAATTCATTATGTTCTCTACTGGAACTTTACAACCTTACTGCGTTAGTTTTATTTGAATGCTTCATAGTTTCTCACAATACATGCGGTGGAATCTCAACTCTATTCTTAGACTACAGTAAAGTGTCTTTAAGTTGAAGCATTTATTTCAATTCAATGCCAAAAGAAATTTAGATCACTGTACATTGTACATAATAGATAATGCTGTGTACTTAATACGATAAATACAATAAAATAATAAACAATGTCGTTAGATCTAACTTTTTTCAAGCTACTTAATAAACTCAAATAATTTTTAGTTAATTTATGATTTAAATTACCTAATGAGCCCGTCATTTGGTTAACAACATTAACACGTAAGAATTTATCAACATTTTATTAAACAAACAAAAATATTACCAATTTATTACTTGTCGAATTTTTGTTTAAGAACCGATAGTATTTTATTGGGGAAATGAAAACGAAATTATATACAAAATATTTATTTACAATCTATGACTAGTGAGGATTCAGGAATGTAACAAATAACTTATTATTCATTTTTTCGCATCTAGAGGCTTCAACTTCATTTCTTGCTTTTCATCACCTGTCAGTACGGGTTTCATCTCCTCTGTAAAAATAGTTTTGAGAATTATAAAAATATGGAATATTTATCTTATCTACATCATTATCAACATTTCTAGCATGTGCTGGCAGTTTTACTAATATTCTAAAGATGGCGTTAACTACACAGGCCTGCAAAATGAGGGTCATAACTTCCTCTCTGGAATTTGATAGCTGATTCTTAGGTATTTTNAATAAAATTTCCAATTTTACAGACCTTCTAGAGCAGATGCCGCAAAAACTATACAAGATATAGAAAAACTTGAGGGTCTCAAATGTAGCAAATTGAATAAGCTTTTTTTGGTTCATAGTAGTCATGTCACTAGGACGCATAGTTTCCGAGGATTAAGCGAAAAACCGAAAAGTGGTACCTTTAAACCCCCCTCTCCCCGCCGGCTCAAGGGCTAAGGGCGGGGACTTTTGCTATGTTCACCACCTAACTAGGCTAAATAAAGTCCCGAGGTCAGAAATTGTGTTCCACGGATTTCTCTCTACACCGTCGTTAAGGCATTCATTGACTGGACTATAATGCGAATTACATGTACTCATTAGGTATTAATTAACAAATTACTGATTAGCATTAATTTCTATGTCCCCTTACACTAATTAAATGCAATAAAAATGAAGCTAAAGTAATTTAATGACGTTTTATAAATTTTAAAATGTAGGCGCTCAGACATTTTTGAGCAAAATCTTAAATATTCAATATCAAAAATTCCTGACGTGATGGATTTTTTTTATTATTTTTCTCGTAATCAGCACATCAGAAACTATAGAAAACGTTACTCAGATTTCAAAGAGGAAAACCATTGCAGACCTGTGCTATGGATAGAACTAGCCTTTGAGAAGCAAAACAATAAAATCTTAATTAAAGAGTAAAGACACAGAATAATAATAAGTACTGTAAAGATTACATCAGAGCTAGCAGTAATTATTATCCTAACAGTGGACTAAGTTGACAAAGTTTCAGCAATTCAATTTTGAATAGTTATTTAATTTTTAGCGTTAAGAGTCACATCTCAAACTAATTTGAAAATTCTCTCTCTCTCTCTACTGCGACGACTTCCTTGGAAGAGCAGTCGCCCAGCAAGCAGGAGTACGTGGGTTCAATTCCCGCCTTAGGCAGTTCGATTTTTTCAAGTTATTTGTAATTTTCAATTCAATTTTGAATAATACCCAGAACGGGTGAAAATAATAAAGCACCTATTTGTGATAACACTACTCTTTGCTTTAGTCGAGAAAATAAATAAAAAGACCTTCGTACCTGGATCACCATTCTCCTTGTTCAAGAAGTTAGGGTCATCCCACTCCTGGCGCTCGCTGGTGCCGAAGAGAACGTGGATGACGAGCATGGCCACGCTGATGGCTGCCATTATGAGGAACACGATGCGCCACCGGGTCAGGTCGGACTGGAATGGAACAACTTTATAATCCTGACAGATCCTGACAGATCCTGACAGATCCTGACAGATCCTGACAGATCCTGACAGATCCTGACAGATCCTGACAGATCCTGACAGATCCTGACAGATCCTGACAGATCCTGACAGATCCTGACAGATCCTGACAGATCCTGACAGATCCTGACAGGCCCTGACAGGCCCTGACAGATCCTGACAGATCCTGACAGATCCTGACAGATCCTGACAGATCCTGACAGATCCTGACAGATCCTGACAGATCCTGACAGATCCTGACAGATCCTGACAGATCCTGACAGATCCTGACAGATCCTGACTTAATATGACCGTACGATAACGTTAAAAAAGACCTTCATATTAAATGACTCCATATTCTTTGAGCAAAGATTCATCATCATCATTTCAGATACAGAACGTCCTGCTGGGTATAGGAATAAGGCCTCCCTCAACGCTTTCCAGATTGGCTGTCAGTGTGGTTGGAATCGACCTACATTTAGCTCTTTCCCAACCTTTATTATATCATACTAGCGGCCGCCCGCGACTTCGTACGCGTGGATCCTGTTTTACCCCCTTTTCCCGAATTTTCTTTGCTATAAACCTCACGGAGCCCGAGACCTTTCCAACGAATGCAAAACCGTGGAAATCGGTTCGTGCGTTCTGGAGTTATAGCGTCAGGGAGGAAAACCCGACTTATTTTTATATAGTAGATAATAACTCTATCGTGATGGGACATTGAATCATTTATGAGCGCAATAAAATCAATTTCTGTTCGGAACGTTATCTTGGAAGTTTCTTTCCTATTAATTGTTTTGCCTTTTTGCTTCGTTTTGCATCAGATTCGAGTCACCTTGTAATGCATCCGATGCCTGAATAAATAGACTGTTAAAATAGTTTTGCTTTAGGTGAAGATAATGTTTTATTTTGGTACCTACTTGTTGTGCTAACATTTACTAATAATATAGCAGAAACAACATAAGGTTGGCATAAAGATAATGATAAGTAAGAAGATTTGTTAAATTAAATTATTTGTGTCTTGATTTACTTTGGGTGGATATGAATAATTCAGACAGATTTGTTTGTGATTCATAAAATTTTTACTTTCACAAAAAGGAAAAAGACAATACATGCTGTTCCGTGTACCTACCCCCTGTATCCAAATCTTAAATGTGTGATATTTGATACGTACAGGATCGTTATTCAAAATGTATCCAGTAGCGATGGGCATCAGGATGCTCGCAAAATTGGCGAGGAAGTTCAGCAGCGCCACGATCACTCCTGCGTAATTCGGGGATAGGTCCAGTTCGTTTACCTGAAAATTTTAATTGTTTATGGATAATTATCAGCACGTTATGCTCCTGGATGAGAATATTATAAGCCTCCTTCTAGAAGCCAATACCAGAAGTCTAAAGTATTAGAAGTAAGGTAAACTCATAATCTATACAGGGTGGAAACGATAAGTGATCTCACTCGATTATTTCTAAACTATAAAAGATATTGAAAAACTGGTTACTGATCCTGAAAGTGCTTCGTGAGCTCTTTCAAACGGTACCAGTAATAGGTTACAGGATAAACTGGAACTATCCGAAAATTCAATGTTTCCAGCTTCCATACTAAATGTATGGCCAACCACACAATATTAGAAGTGTAATTTGTTTTTTGTTAAATAAATAACTTAAAAAGTCGGTTAAATAAACTCGTAACTTGCATCTTATTTAAAATTATTGGTGAAAAACATTAGTTTTAGGCTTTACTTGCTATAATATTATCAAGAGATGAGTGCCATGACTGTGATAGTACTAAATGTATGGAAGATGGAAACATTAAATTTTTGGATAGATCCAATTTATTCTGCAAGCTATTGTTGATACCGTTGGATAGAGCTCGTGAAGCACTTTTAGGATCAGTAACTAGTTTTGCGATATCTTGTGTAGTTTTTAATATTATGTAACTTTACCAAATGTATGGAAGCTGTAAATATTGAATTTTCGGATAGTTCCAGTTTATTCTGTAACCTATTATTGGTACCGTTTGAAAGAGCTCGTGAAGCACTTTCAGGATCAGTAACCAGTTTTTCGATATCTTGTATAGTTTAGAAATAATCTAGTGAGATCACTTATCGTTTCCACCCTGTATAAATAAAAATGAATTGATGTTCGTTAGTCTGATTATAACTCGAGAACGGCTGGGCCGATTGAGCTGATTTTGGTTTTAAAATGTTTGTCGTAGTCCAGGGTAGGTCTAAACGGTGAGTAAATACGCGCGCGATATTGTTTTTCTGTGACAGACAAAATTCTACGCGGGCGAAGCCGCGGGCGGAAAGCTAGTTTTTAATACAATTCTGAAATATTATCTTTCATTGGCGTAATTACTTACAATCACTCCTGCAGAGGTAAAACCACACATAGTCATGATGCTTATAAGAACCATAATCGCCAGTACTTTACTATCCACGTCCAAATATCCGAGCACTACCAGCCCTGCCGCAGCACCACCAAGAGCTGAATAAAAAGTATCCGTTAATAAAGCAGATAAATGCCAGTAAATCTGTATCTGGCTGATGAAATTTTACCAAAAACAATAGAATTCAAAATTAAAAAAATATATCACTTGCATTTATGAATGATATACCTGGAGCGAGATCAAGCGCGAAGCTCAAGACCGAACGCGATGGAGGACTGTTGTGGACGCCCTCTGCCCTATCTAGGGGATATAGGACCTTAAGTCAAGTAAGTCATTTATGAATGAGAGAAACGTGGACATACTAACCGAGTGACTGAAATACTTTTCTAGCAGCAGTGATACTCAGCAGCCCTTTGTTGATGAGCTTCTCAGAGAGCAGCGACGAGAATATGGTCCCCACCCACATGCCCACGTACGGTAATGCAGATAATAGGGCACTCTGTAGAAAATAAATAATGTAATCTAGTATTATTTTGATCGAAAAACCTTTTTTTTTAACAGAAAAAGAGTCAAACGGGCTAATTTTTAGGTTTAGATATCAATATTATCTTATTTGACAGTAAGCATAAGGTAGGCAATTACGATAGAAGTACCTATTTATTAATTATAATTTCAGAGTGCAATACATAGCAATTAAAGCATGTAAGTAAAAGATCACTTGATAACAAAACTAAAAACAATACAAAAATATTAGGCAATTTAATCAAAATACAACTAACGCCCGTATTCACAAACATTACTATGAGAACACACAGGGTGACACACGAATCAATCACAGAGCTCTATTCAATGCTGTAGTTCGATTTGCTGCTTCACTTGGGCAAGCATCGTTTGTTAATACGGGCGTAATTAATAAACAACTCACGTTCTTCAGCGAGATCTTGAGTCCCTTCTCCATGAAGGTGGGAGTGTCGACGAAGAACATGCTGAAGCTGGCCACAAAGCCGAAGTGCGGCGCCAGCAGCACCCACATAGGGAGAGAGCGGAGGATGTGCCTCCATGGGGTCGGTGGCTTCTTCTGCAATCATCAAAACGACCCTTTATAATTTACCTGAGATTTTATACTGCTTTCTCTTTCCTTGTCTTTGGAAAATTAGAGAGAGTTGCGACACAGCACCCATGTACGGGTACGGTGCTTGTCTTGTTGGTTGTCCTAAATAAATAAATAAAATAAAAAATAAAATAAAAAGGGAAAATTTAAGTAATTCATTGTCGTGCCAAAGATTTATTAAGACTATTTAACCAGTAAAAGTACGAGTATTCTACTCAAAATAGAGTAATAAGTTTGGCATTATACTTCATATAACTTTGGATGTTTTGAAGAACATTATTATTTTAAGAGAGCTGCATTATGATATAATTAAAGGCTAGCTTCAAATATCCTCACTTACATTTTCAGAAACATTTAATAGAGCTTCAATGTACCGCCGTTCTTCTTCACTGATCATGCGATGCTCCCTCGGGGAGTTGGCAGATGACCAGTACCATATAGCAGAGACAATGAAGAGGAAGCCAGCGAAAGCGTAGAAGATCATCTTCCATCCCAGAGCCGTCTCAGCAAGGAGCCCACAAATGGGCATAGCAATAACGGTCCCAAGTTGAATTCCTGCGGAAGACCAAAATAATCAAGTAGGTAAGTACATAATAATAAATAAATAAATAATTTATGTTGACCCTATTTTAATTAAATAATCATCATTTTGTAAAGCGATGTTGATGATATTGTGTCTATGTTTTATCAATCTTGAATAATCAAAATAATATTAATATTAGAAAGGCAGTAGGTATTGCCACAACACTGCTGTGTGCTTACCATGAGTTTACGTTCGGAGTGCTCGCTAGCGAGTACGTCAAAAAAATCTATGAAGATTTTGTTTCTTGAAAGTAGCCGCTAGGGGGCACTGTACAATATGTCATACATTTAATGTCAATTTTTTACGTAGTCGCTAGCGAGCACACCTAACGTAAACTCATGGTAAGCACACAGATACGAAATTCCTAAGATTTGAAATATTGATCTACGAGTATGTAGTTAGAATTCATCAAGACATTATAACAATACCATAAAACTTATAAGTTAAACGTAGATAAATGCCAGTTCATTGTGATAATGCGTCTTGGTTATTTATTTCTACAGTGATAAGATGAAAGCCATTAAATTAAATAAGTACGGAGAACTACTGTTTCAGATATTTTTTATTGTTATCTTATTGATTCAAGTTCCTTTCTGATGTGTCACAAGAAAAAATATTACTTGTATGTTTGTTGCACAGTATTTAAAATGCTGTAAGAGTATAAATATTTAATACAACTTAATTTCTTTATAAAACGTTAAAATATTAATGATCTAAGCGGAATTATATCGTCTTGAAAAACCTAACAAATTTTTCGGCCAAACACTCGTCGTCAACATATACGTTACCTACCTATATTTAGATTACCTATTTTATAAAATCAGTAACGAAGGTATACCTCCCATCACAACACCAGTGTAGCTAGTCCTCTCGTTTTCGGGCAACCACTGGCCCAGCAAGGCCTGCGAGGCTGGGAACAGGCAGGCCTGAGATAGGCCCATGCCCATACGACATGCGCACACTAGCATCCATCCGCCCTAGAAAATATGGCATTTCGATTACCTTAGAGTTAGACCACTAATTGTGCCACACCCACCAAACACATGACACCGAAGTCAGTCGCCATTACAACAATGTTAACAGCATTGTTGTGTTCAGGCAGTTAGAGGTAAGATAGCCTGTTCCTCCGTGGTTGAGGCTTCCGGGTGAATCCCGCTTCCACCTTTGGCATGATCATCACTTACCATCACACACCATAGGTAGAATAATTGCATAGCTTTGGTAATCAATACTGGGATACTTCAATAAATTATGATTCTCCAATAATATTTGAAGCGAAAGTCGAAGTTGAGGGCTTTGTATGTATACATTTATACTGCCTTCGTATCTTCTATGTATGCTGTCTCTTTGTACTGAATTTTTTTACTTAATGTTCCCAGGTGCTTGACAAAGCCAAAACTTTTTAATTGGATATAATTTTCTTACCACAGCTGCAAGAGTTGGAACCAACGTGCATATCGTCATGTTGGCTAGCAAAGCGAACAGAAGAATAGGTTTCCCTCCGAAGTTGTTCGCGAGGATACCAGCTGGAACTTGCATCAGCACGTAGCCCCAGAAGAAGGAGGAGAGGATAACACTCTGTGTCTTTTTATCCCACTCGTAGATCTGTAGGAAAATAGGAAGTTTGTACTTAATTTTAAGGAACCCTCACAATATTATAAATAAATATATGAAATTATCTTTGAATCCTAAAGTCGCTGACGTAGCCTGACGGAGTAACAAGCTGAAGTGGTAATAGGCGCACATAGCATGCAGAACCGACGGAAGATTCTGAAGGGGAGATCACGTACCGGAAAGCGCAGCCACAGGGCAGCGTAGGGCGTCCACCCACAAGATGGGCGTGTACTGCAGGCCACTGCCAATCGGTTTATATGGAAATCATTGATAAAGCCTGGTCCGTGAGCACGTAGAATCCCGTCCAATGACCCCACGCTACCCATCCCTATCACTCGCGCGTAATTATGTTGCTGTCGCGACTGTGCGATGGGCGCCGGCAGTGAGTGTGCGAGCGCGACAGCAACATAATTACGCGCGAGCGATAGGGATGGGTAGCTTGGGGTCATTGGACGGGATTCTACGTGCTTGCGGACCAGGCTTTAGAAGACTGTTTTCAGCAGTGGACGTCCCTGTGGCTGAAATGGTGATGATGATGACATAAAATATAAAGTTTCAGCTGTATCTACCTCGATACCAGTATCATTCCTTCGGCTCTCATCCGACATGGCCAGCACTGCGACCCCCATGCTCGCGCGAGCACCCATGAGCGCTATCACCACCAAGGTCATCGACGCCACCTGAAGGTGTCTGATGCCGAAGCCATATGCTGCAAGTTTAAAAACATTCTAAGAACTGTAGGAGCTTGAGATAGACTATTTAAAAAAACTGATTACCTAAATAATTGTTCACTTGATTGTAATTTCATAATTAATGCGGATCTTAATGCAAGTTTCTCCATTTAGAATTCTTAGGAAGGGCCCTATTACTTTATCCCTATATTGATTTGTAATAATACAAGTATGCGAATGTAAAAAGCTCCTTGGATTAAAAACTTACTTTTATCGTCTTCCATAACTTTTGTGACAAGTTCACATTTTTTAACTTTCTCCGCAGCCATAGTGAACTCAACCCACGTCACGCAATCTGCGAAATGAACTGCTTCAAGCGCACTCTAATTAATTTAATTTAATTAGTCCTTGCATTCAAACAATTAACTTACCAAGTAGCTATGTTCCTTATACTTCAAGACAAAAGACTCAAAATTGAGGGGTAACAAACATCTGTTTGTGTGGGAGTGTTATCAGATGTTTGATCCTTAAACAAATGTTGGTAAACGGCGGTACTATCAAATAGTTATCCAAAGTTAACGTAGTTTTTAACGGCAGTGATAAATTTGCTTTTATTTTTTTTCTCAATGAATTTTATTTTATTAGTTTATGTTTATACTTTGAAATGCAGGTACAGATAGCCAGGCCAATTTAAAAATAAACAGACCATGGTGCATGGTGATGACATAGAGATTGCGTCAGTTAATTTACAAGAGAAAATCAATATTTTAGATTACCCCCTGTTTATTTTTATCTAAAAAGTTTATTTCCATCAATATTGTTGTGTTTTCTATGCTATGTCATAAATCTCTATCACATAATCAGGTTTGAGTATCTATAGATGAACTATAGTTCCAAAATACTGAACTGTCCTATCCATGACATTGACTTTGGGGCGCCACCGTCAATACCGGATCGCTGTTCCGATTTTTGCCATGTTGAAAACCATAAATATAGTTGATCGATGGTAGCGCCCTCCTGTCATTGAGTTTGGTGGGGTAGTTCAGCGTGGGTCATCTATACACCGAACCGTCCCACCTGTGACACTATGGGGGCGCCATCGTCACGATACCGGATCACTGGTTCCGATTTTTGCAACCGCGTTGGAAACCATAATAGTTGAACAATGGTGGGGCCCCCCTGTCAATGTGTTTGGTGGGACAGTTCAGTGTAGTTCATCTATACAACTCTTTGTCAAGTTGTATGTCATTCTCAATGATAAGTAAGAGTAGGCGCACACCGTTGATTTTTCGTCGGCCGATAGTTTAGTCGGGCTGTTGATCAGTATGGGCATGTATGGGAGTAATGCGCACACTACGCCGATTCGATTTGGCCGATTCTTCAAACAATTTGAAATCGGGCAAAACTATCGGCCAACTAAATATCAACGGTGTGCGCCTACTCTAAGCAGGAGAGAAGTACCTATATACGGGCAACGCAGAATCGAAACGGGAATTGTTGAGGAAATCTATGGAGGAATCTACTTATATTTGAAAATGGTAAACATCTAGTCTGGCTTTAAAATGATCAGCTATGCAGTATCGTTGAACAACTTCCACGTACGTAACTGCTCCAGCAGTTCTCAGTAGTCGTTGACAAATTAAACTAAAGTCGCAATATATCTTGAAGCCAGTGTATGTCTCGCACTATTTGACCGCATGGAGGAATTTCGAAGTGCTTCTGACTGCCTTAACTTGAAATACAATAGATTTTAGAAGTCCAGCTGATATGCAGCTGTAGGAAGCAAGTTGGACTTGTTTGTTGTTATGGAATTAAATTCAATAGGTAGTATGTTGACATCTAATGGAGTAGGTTTTCTTCAAATATACTGACGACCGCCTAACCTCGGAAAACACTAATTACTGAAGTTTTCAGTTTGTATGTGAAAGAGAAAACATTTATGAGATATTGAAAGTACCTAGTAGGAGGGGAAGATTTTCTCAAGATAAAAATAATATGAATTAAAACGAGGGCAAGAGAAGATCACAGTTTAATAAAATTAATATAAAACTTAAATTAATTTCCTTTGTACAGTTAAGGTCACGGGTGCAGACTATTAGAATAAGTCGCTATTAGTGTCTGTAGGCTTCATTTTCTTTTTCTTTGTTCTTGCTCTGCTGCTCTGTTAGTACCGGCTTCATTTCTTCTGTAACAGAGAAAAAAAAATTGTGAAAGAAAGGCATGAAAGCCTTATCCAAAGCACACGATGCGTTTTCTTCTTCTTATTCGTTTCGCTCTTGGCAGAGCGGTCGTGGTCACGTTGAGGCGTTGTTCACATCGGTTGTAGAGGCGGATACAACTCTACGCACGATCTCCCGCCATCTCTCTCTATGCGACAATGCGTTTTACCCAACATCAATAACTTCTTCATCAACTAATTATGTACTATTTTAGTTGTCTGTTAAAAAGGATCATCAAATCAATTACCAGGGTCAGCCTGCTTATCAAAGTAGTCTGGGTCGTTCCACGGCTGTCGCTCCGAGCTGCTGAAGATGACGTAGATGATGTTGGTACTGGCAGCCAGTGCTGCCACCATCAGGAACACCACGCGCCATCGACTCAGGTCTGACTACGAACAATCATGATCAAGATGTTAGAACTCAAGTCTTTAGAACTGTTTTGAACAAATTATAGAAAGAGAGTTGACAAACTTCTTAAACTTCTACCTCGTTATTAATAAAAAGTTACACCTAGGATGAACCCAGGATTAAAATGACATTTCCATACTAACTGACAATTTAAGCCAGAGTGCAACTAGGGTGTAACTTTTATTAATAAGGGGGCTAACTGTTCCCAGTTAGCATCGCGAACGCGATAGAAACAAGCGACCGCTACAAGCAACTGAGAGGGAAGACTTCGACCGTTTTGCACCTGCCTCGGTCTCGTTGGCGAAATGATGCAGAAATATTGCCTAAGGTCAATTAGTAACGGTCGCGGTTTCCAGTTTGTCGTTGTACGTACCTCCGCCTTTAGGTAAACTTGAATGAACCTAATAAGGTTTCACAGAAGCCTCAAACTATGGACAAAGTATGAAGATTTCTAAGGATTTCATAGCATCATTTCGTTTCATTAGAAACGCGTAGGATGCTCATTCAACACTTCCCCAGCCCACGTATCTTGTTATTAGTTTGTAAGCGATAAAAGTATATTGTTTACTATACTCACCGAATCATTTCGAAGAATAAGACTAGTTACGATCGGAATCAGTACGCTCCCAAAATTAGCTACGCAGTTCGTAAGAGAGAACAATAGGCCGGCAAAATTGGGCGCCATGTCTAGGTAGTTCACCTGAAACAAATAATTATAAACTTTGAGACATATACGCCCGTATACACAAACGTTACTATGAGGTCTCACAGTGCTCGAAGACAGACAGGGTCACAGACGAACCAATCACAGAATCACGCTGTGTATTCGATTTGGTACTTCACTTAAGCAAGCATCGTTTCTGAACTCGGATGATAGTATAGTTTAGTTTTAAGCATAACCCTTGGGGTAATGGCATACAGCTGAAAAGAAAAGGTAAAATAAAATCTTACACCATATCCAGCGTTGCAAAAGCCACTCATAGTAAGGGTGGCCACTAGTGCTACGATGGCTCCTCCTTTATTTTCTGGCCCGAGTAGGGACAAGAACACTAGACCTCCGGATATTCCAAACATACCTAAAAAAAATAAACAAATGTAAATAGATAATGCAAATAAAACATTCATGACTGATACATTCATGATTAACAATCATTGCAACGCAATTTGAATTTGATTTATTTCACTAATCTATAAGAAACTTTTACTACACAAGGTTCATTAGTGCATACGAGTAAGTTTGTACCTAGATGGGGTTGTCGTACCTACTCTAGTTGCAATGCAACAAACGTTTAACGCCAACTGGCTCAATTCGTTGTAAGCTCATTAGTGAGGGGATAACTTTGTTTCCACGGTCCACACAGCTTATGACCGCAGTCTGTGGAGGAACACTATCTGTGGTCGCGATCCTCATCAGTGAGGGAACGACGAAGAAGGAGAAACTTTGTTTCGCGTAAGCTCAAGAAATACTAGCTTAGCGGTAACAAGATAAACCACCTAATTTATTATCACGGAAAGTATAAAATTTGAAGATATAAGACCACATATTTTGACTACAGACATTTTAAAATGATATTGTTGTTTTTAGCGAAGCTCATGTCTTCTTATAAATGTATTATTTGTTAATGAATAAGAAATGAAATGTAGTGAATGAATTGTAATTCTTATGAGAAATAAATTGTCTTTAACCATCATTTGATTAGTTTTGATAGTGCCTACTTACTAAATATTGTGCTTTCAACAAATACGAGCTAGTGATGTAAATTAACGCCTGATAAATTAGTTGTTAAGTCAATCATATTATTATCTTGAAACGATCGACCAAGCTCCATCGTAGAACAATACCAATTTTATTCTTCTTCTTCTCAGTCGGTACACTCTTGTCAGAGTGGTTGTGGTCATAATTTTGAATCCCGATTCAGAGTGATGTTCCTCGTAATACGGCGCCATTCCTCGCGGACTGCACCTGCAGCTTCAATTTTATTAGTAAAATACAAATAGATATAATTATCTCACCAAGAGAATTGAAAATCTTTCTGCAAGTGCCAACTGATATGATTTTCTTATTAGTAAGTTTTTCTGCAGCAACCGTCGCACATGTATTTCCGATCCACATCCCAATGTATGGAAGAGCTGATAACGACGCACTCTGAAAACAGAATAATTATAATTCATTAAAAACCAATACAAATCTGCTTGGAGACTAACGCCCGTATTCTATGGACATGAACCAATCACAGAGCTCTATTCAACGCTGTGCGTTCGATTTGCTGCTTCACTTAAGCAAGCATCGTTTGTGAATACGAGCGTAAGAATACCCGTTTTTGGGACAGGTTGGTAAAAAATATTATCACAAATCCAAACTCAATCCTAAACTCAGTCCACGGGAATCTATTTAAGGAATTAAGGCTGTAGTATTTGCTTACAATCGACCTGATTCAATTTCCCTTAGTCAAATTACGGCAAGTTGGAGCTATCTGATACGATTCTATCGAATATCCTGGTTATCAGATATCCTTAACGTTAAGTTGAAGTTATCATTAAGTTTAGTGAATGAATTTACATTTTTCAAGGATATCTTCAGTCCCTTCTCCAAATAAGTCGGCATATCCACGAAGAATAGCACAAAGCTGATGGCTGACGAGATGTGTGTTGCCAGGATCGCCCAAATTGGTACGCATCTGAAGATCTGCTTCCACGGAGTTGCCATTTTTCTCTGAAATAATATTATGATGAAATATCAGCCTTATTTTGTAGGTACCTACTTATTAAAGTTTTGGTTTTAGTATCCCGTCTGGTGTCGTTTTTTTATCATCAGGATGGTACACGGACCCAAGACCCTCTGGTATAGGGACCCAAGGCCTAAACCACTAGTATTATAGTATAGTAGTGATTTCTGTCCTATTTTTTGTGTGATTATTTGTCTGTATATCAAAATTGTTTGTTTCCCTAATATAAATAAATAAATAAATAAATTAGCAAGTATTTTTTGATAAAAAAACAATAGAGCCAATCTATTTTAACATTATAATGTTAGGTATTCAGGAACATACCTGACCACCCTTAATTTGAAGCCCATTTTCAATGTACTGCCGTTCTTCTTTGCTGATCATCCGGTGTTCGCCTGGGGTACTAGCGGAGAACCAGTACCAGATGGCGGCGTTGACGAACAGCAGACCAGACATGGTGTAGAAGATCAGCTTCCAGCCAAGAGCCGTCTCGGCGAGCAGCCCCGATACGGGCATGGCGATTATTGTCCCTATTTGGACTCCTGTAAACCGTAAATTAAATTATCATGGCCTTTGTTAGCCAAAGTATTTAAATAAATTGAGTTATCTGGGTACAAAATAATCAGAGCTTGACTAGTGCCCGATTTCAACATCAATCCCTAATTTTTAAGTGACCCCTATGGTAATACATAACAGGCATTTTGTTTTCAAAGGAGTCACTTAAAAATTAGGGATTGGTGGTGAAAACGGGCATAGGCCTCCTGAAAGTATTTTACTGTAAGATGGAACAAGATAAGTCTTAGATTTAAGTGAAAGAGTTTGGAAGAATGCCTTGTCCATGTAGATAGACTGTTGCCACATGTATGACGCACACCATGATACGTGGTGGAGTAGGCATAATAATTATGTTCACTTTAAACTTTTAAGAGCTGACAATGACATCGTGTTTAAAGTCAAATTTAAAGCCTGGAAAATAGTCTTACCTCCTGAAACGATGCCAGAATAGCTGGTTATTTCATTGGGTGGGAGCCATTGCCCAAAAAGGGACTGAGAAGCAGGAAAAAGACAGGCTTGAGACAGGCCCATTGCTACTCGTGCCATACACACTAATGGCCAACCTCCCTGAAAAAATACATGATTGATCCACATTAGTAGGAGTTGTGTTACGATTTTCATCCCAATACTCCAGCCGAAGCAAGGTTCGAACTCTCGTTCTTCAGATCTCGAGTCAGCTGGTCAATGAACAATATTAGGCTATTGCCTCTTTAAGCATCACGTGTCGTGAGTGCGCATCAAGTGAAGCTGTTTGTTGGGCTTTTAAAAGCACCACCAAAAAACTCATATAAATACTTACCAATGCAGCTAAAGTAGGCAACGCTATACACAAAACACCGTTGACAATGAGTGCTGCTAGAAGGATGATTTTTCCGCCAAATTTATTGGCGAGCAGTCCTGCAGGAATTTGCATCGTGACGTAGCCCCAAAAGAATGAGGAAAGGATCAAACTTTGGGTGTTCTTATCCCAATCATATACCTAGAATCAAATAATGTTTTTGAGACATAAGTCTTGTGCTTCAACCACACCAACGGGTGCAGATCCCGAACTCTGGCGCGATCATATGCCAATGACAGGTCGCACCCTATGATCGCGCTGGCGATGGCCATCTGCACGCGTTGGTGTGGTTGAAACTAACGAAATGCGGTTATCAGGTGGGATCATTATGACGCGCATTTTTGTTTGCATAAAGCCACATAATACGAGTTATGTAGCCGCCAGCGACCACAATAAAAATCGTCTTCGAATAGAAACAATGAATGTTTGCAGCCGAAGCCACAAGCAACTTTCTGCACAGAAACACCACATTGGTAATCATATTAGAAACAGAAATGTGGCCCTGACAAGAGCCGTTGCATAGCTCTGAGAAGAGCTGTTTTGTGTGACCACTGCACGTCGCACCGTCCCTCATCGCAGCACCAGCACCGCTCGCACCACTGTCACCAAGCAGCATCACCAACGCCCACGTGTGGAGCGGCGAGCCGCGTGGGCACGCGCCGGTCGCGCTCCGGTGCACACGTGCGTCCTGCGCCGCTGCCCGCCGTCGAAAAGATCGAGGCTGGGCAGTTGTGGCTTCGGCTGGAAACATTCATTGTTTCTATTCGAAGACGATTTTTATTATGGTCGCTGGCGGCTACAGTTATATCATCTCATCCCAACTTACAGCAACTGCCGCTTGAGTATCATTTTTTCGTCCTTCACCTGCCATGGCCAGAACAGCAACGCCCATGCTCCCTCGAGCGATGAACAGAGAGATCGTAGTAAGGCACATGCATGCTAACTGGAGGTGCCTGACACCAAAACATTGGTCTGGAAGAAGAAATCGAAAGGAAACCCTTTGACAAATCTATTCTATTCGTGGATATGCCTAAATAATCAGGATAATCAATCTATTGATAGTAACGCCAGATGAAGGCTTTAGGTTATAGTCAATAGACAGCAAAACGGTTATTAATCTTTCAAGCTCCGCGAATCTAGACACAATAGATAATCAATTGTAATGACATTAATTAATGCCGTCTGGGACTCAATCGGTTAATAAACCTCCAAGAAGTGTTAATATTAACATTTATAACCTCCAAGGAGTGCTAATATTAACATTTATAAGATACGTCATGATTTGTGGTCGAGTCGATAAAAGACACAGAGAACACGGGTCAGTAGATCATGATTTTTATTGATTTATTATCTCCTCATGCAAATCAGGTATTTATTACGTAAACTGCCAGTCATTGGACACTTAAGAAAGTTATTGGACAGTTGTTTACTGAATTAAAAATAGCATTTCTATTTCAACAACTGAGAGATTCCGACTGATGGAGATAAAAGGGCGTTTTTTTTAAGGAATATTCATTTTAAGAAAATTCAAGGGTTGTTTTGTCCATTGACTGGCAACGTCCATTGACTGACGGTTTACCCTATGTATAATATATAAATATTTACTTACCTATTCTCATTTTACTATTCTCATCATTTTCTCAACATACAAGACATTACAAAAAACTAATCACAAGCATAGGGTAAGACCGGATTTTTCGACAGGGAATGTGTGTATGAAACTCTGTCATTTTATCTAGGAAAGCGATTTCGTTAGTGTCAGCCAAATGACTTCCACTGCTGGGGAAAAGCCTTGCCCAAGAATTAAGCACCGGTTATATGGTGATATACATTGTAACTTCTTCTAGTGTATGTATTGTGCATCAAATATTACTTGAATACGGTGAAATTGTATTTAATTAAAGAAAAGTATTGTCAAGTTTAGCAGCAGAGTTGAGGTGGCTTAATTGATTTACTTGACATATTTTTAATACATAAAAAATATATTTTTAAGTATTAATTAGGTACTTACATTTTTTTGGCATTACTCCAGCAGTTTGTTTTATAGCGTAACTTTGTTCACCCATTTTGATTTCTTTACACTGTGACCCTACTATACATTGTGATCTTCCTACAACAAGTGACTGGAATTTTACAGTAGCTAAACTATATCCTTTCCAGGTTTCGTATGTTTGTTGGAATCGTTATTATTCTAAATTATACCTTATGTAACTTAATTTTACAGCACATAGTGCTTTGTGTGGTTAAAGCTACATATGAGAAGTACTCTTAAGTGACAAGGCATCAACGTATCTCTGAGTATGCACGTGAATACGACTTATAAATAACGCATACCAGTAAAAGTGCCACCGTTACTTAATTACACCCAATATCTATAGTAATAAGACTCATAATTGGGTTTGTCAAGTCATAAGTGACTGATGTGATAAGTTGTATTTATGTTTTTATATTTATAAACGCAAATAAAGTTATCTGAAATGTGTGACGGGCTTAGGAATGATTTATGACGTAATGAACTAAATATTAGCTAGCGCTTACTGGTTTCATGTTGAATAGACACAAATAATTTTGTGTAAAACTTATTTAAATATTTTTTGAAAATTTTCCATCATCGAAGCTAAAAAAATTGTCTTTGTAGTCAAAACTGGGAAGTGAACATAATGTGAAAATTGAATAGGAACATTTTGAACGTGCATATAAAGTCAAGTGACGTACTTACCGAGTGAAAAACTTTAACGATGCTTTGTGAAAACAAACCTGCGTGAAGCGGTCACAAATTAAATCTGCCACGATTCTGATTTGTCTAGACGCCCTTCTCATTTGAAAAGTCTTTACCAACTCACTAAAACTCCGTGAGAAATCTTGGATATTAATTCATATCATTACTTACCCTCAGGTGTGATTACGTGAAAATCCTCGGTATATTACTTAAAAATAATGAATAGCTAAAATTTTCATAAAGATAATGGTGGCCACGGCTTTTAAAAAATCTAGTTACAGCCGGTCTACTCCAATCTCATACATACTCGTACTGTATAATATACATTATAAACTTGCATAATATAAATCAAGAATTTCGTGATAAAGCAGAAACATTTGGTTTTATAATGAGCTTAATTGGATTGGTGTGTTTCATTATATTTAACGACTTACACATATTACTTCGTATTATTGTATTCCAGGAAACAACAGAAATTGGGATATTAGAGAGATTACAATTCTGGAACCTATTTCTTCTTAGTATTATATTTCATAAGGGAAAATAAATATCTTGGCTTTTTCGTATTGTTATTTTCATTCCCGTATCAGATTAATGTTTGGTAATTTTTTCGTAAGATCAGATTAAGTATTTACTTTATCATTTTACGAAAAGCAACCTTATTTATACAAGTGTAATGATTTTAGAATTTATATTGTATTTTATACGATTATTGGTTACTTTTAAATAGTTATTGTAACAATTTTAGTATTTGTATTGTATTTTAGAAGAACCCAAAAACCCATTATTAAATTAGAATACTTTATTTGATTACTTCCTGGGCATTTTGCAGACATTAGAATGATTTTAGAATTTATTTTGTGTTACATCCAAATATTTCATATTTATTATTTAATTTAATGATTTTAGATTTTTATTGTATACATTCTAGTATTTTAAATAATTCAAAAACAGCTTATTATGAAATAAGTATTGCATTTGACTAGTTCCGGGGCATGCCGTCGATAAGTCGTTTTGAACCGGTCGACTTTCACTGATGGAAGGGGAAGTTACTTATCGCTGGCATGCCGCTGGACAATCAGTTCGATTTGAGCGTTCAAAGCAAGAGGTACTATTAAGATGACGTCATAATGTCGGAATTGTGTAAATCAGTGGTGCTGAAATACAAGTTAGGACAACCTACAAGAGTGTTTCATTTCACGAGTAAGTACTAACATAATAATGATATTACCTTAAATGCCTTCTTGCCAGGCCGTATATTACTAGTTTTCAGACATTTCCTTAATAAAACCTATTTGTACGGTCTAGAAATTTTGTAAAGCCTTAAAGATGAGAAAAACATAATATTATAGGTACCTATTGTGTAAATATTTAAGATGACAAGCGGATGGTAACCATTTACCTGCATTACTATGTGCGTAACAGTAGTCTCTAAATAAATAGTTTCAACAATTACTCCGATTACCTAGTCCAAAACAAAGCAGGACTTGTACGATGACAAAGAGATATAGTAGATAAACATAATAATGGATACCGATAAACTATTCATAGTTAAACATTCGTGGCTCCATAATGTTCGCACTCATACCAATAAGATTTATTCAAACCTGCGATTGCAGCTGAGTCCAGTAACTCGCATGTATTAACAACCATTACTATGAAGTCTCACAGTGTGCGTGGACGCACATGGTGACACACGAACTAGTCACAGAGCTGTATTCAACGCTGTGCATTCGATTTGCTTCTTCACTTAAGCAAGCATCGTTTGTGAATACGGGCGTCAGACTAGTTTGAAAACACACCCAGTCATTATTTGACTATCTGACTACTACTGACTGACCTAGCTCTTGAGACACAGCCAAAAAACTTCTTCAACTCAAAGCCCCTAATAATCGCGTTAAAGTATTACACTCGAACTCTTATTTACAACAAAGACTCAAAGGCCAAAAGTATCTCACATTAAACGTAATGGGACCGCAGGTAATGCATTCAACACAAATTCTTTAGCTCACAAAGGAGACAATATCAGAGCCTCGAGGATAGGGTGGCTATTGTACCTGAGACAAAAGCAGGCTAAGGTATAATTTCAGGAAGAAAATGAGCATAATTCAAATTAATTTATTGCTTAATAAAATTCCTGGGAATTTGTAGAACAGTTAATTATTATACATTGCTTGAGACAATCACAATATAGCTTGAAAAAGACTTTACTTAGGCATTTTAAATAATGGTGGCTAGACGATGACAGTTGAATAACGTCATTGTGAACGGATTATGAATCCATTTAGGCCCAGTTTTTTTTATTCATAGTTAAAATAAGTAATTGTTGAATTTTGCTACTAATAGTTAAATATTAACAAAATGTAAAGTAATAGTTAAAAAATGTACTAAAAGTCAAGCTAACCATTGTTCGAAAAACATTTTTTTCTGTTACTTAACCACTTGTCGTTTGACATCTGTCAAATTTGACTAATGGTTATTTTACTACGAATCAAAAAACTGGGCCTAAGAAAGACATGTAAAGTGCCCCATAAGGGCTACCTTTTTTTAAATTTTATTTACTGTATTTTGACGTTTAGGTGCCACTTGTGGTCTAAATTGAATAAATATTTTTGATTTTGATTTTGAAATGTTTTAAATTATGCTCAGATTAAACAAGGTCAAAATGAAAATCCTAATGAGACTGACATTGAAAGTAAATCACAGTAGGTACCTACTTACCTATAGTCTAGAATATATGACTGACCACGTAGTTCTAGAATCTAGTTTAGTTGGCCACCCTACTACAAGGGTACCCACTTACCGTGTAATAAGGGAGGGTTTAAGGTAATAAAAAATGATAAAGGTCGGAGTGCTCGCCTATGTTTCTACGAAATGCCCGCGGTTTTTTAACCGATCTCAAGGAAATGAGTGGTGATTTATATGATAGTCATTCTTAATCTGAACATCTATTCGTAAAACAAAGAATATTTACATAAAGCAGGTATTTATGGAGTAGGAATATAAGTTTACATAGTTTAAATCAAGTCACTCCCGCTGTTTGTGCTTTTATATCTTATACTACGCAACGGATTTTAATGTGGTTTTCAGCAACAGATAGAGTGATTCAAGAGAGAGGCATATTATTTTAATGTGTATGATACAATATAATAATATTATGTAGTAACCGTACAATGGCCGGGGCGGGTCGCTTGTTTATTATTTTACTTCTTATCTTACTATCTTTATTCTTACTAGTAATTATCACAGTAGTGCTAATATTATACTTAATAAATTGCTAAAGTTTGTATAGATGTCGGAATGTCTGCGTTAAAGAGTAACAAACATACTCTTCGACGCAAAAACTACTGAACGGATTTTGATGAAACTATTATTATTGTTTATAACCCATAATAACATAAATAGGCTATAATTCATGACGATCTGTGACAAAATAAATTTCACGCGGGTGAAGCCGCGGTCAAAAGCTTAACTGCTAATTGATTTTGCAACAGAAGTTTAGATTTTTTCGTTCAGTTAATGTTTGAAGTTTGAATATTTAGGCTTTATAAATGCCAGAATCGGTATTTATTTTACTGTGTTTGCAAATTGTGCGGCAAAATACATTATCTTTTCCTGGTAAGAATGGTTCTTGACGCTTTAATACCGACAAATAGTTTGGCTGCTCCACCGACCGGGACATCGGGCCCCGGGGACTTACAGCGGTGTCTTGAGCGCCGGAGACATCATTAATTATTCCATTTAATTAATTGCCGTTCAGCTTCCATGAGTACACTCTGACGGCCAATTACGAGCCTTGGGAGTAGCGAAAATTAGTTCTAGTTTTCTTAGTTTTTTATTCGACTCTACTTTTACATACGATGATGATGGATATTAATCACGACAAGAATTTTGCAAAATGAATGGATGAAATGAAAATGTGAATCTTGAATTAATTTGATAACTAGGTAACATGTCAAATGGGTTTATTCTAGGAGCAAACCACCAACTTTTAGTTGACCGATAGTTGGGCCCGATTCTTCCCGATTTGTATGAAGAATCAACCGATATCAAATCGGCGTAAGGTGTGTACTTTCATATCACATCATTCCCCCTTCGTAAAGGTGTCCATACTGATTAACAGCCCGAACTAACTATCGACAAAGTTACACTTCAAATGACAGGGTAACTGACAAGGGCATGTGAGGAAAGTATATATTTTCAAATAACCCAATAAAGAAGGCAGAAAAGCCAAACCCCAGATTATCAATAATCCACCCATTCTTCCAGAAAATCCAAAAAATATCAACAAATACTTCAAATGGCTCGAGCTCACTGCGTTCTCTTTACGTCGGTTCAAATATCATAAGTCATGACAGGCCCACACCCAAACGTCGTATCAAGCCCAACTTCCTGTTCATTGTGCCACGGAAATTCCGATCTTATGGACATAAAAATAAAGTATTCCATTTTGATGTTAATGAAAGGAACTAGTGATGGAAAGGGCTCAAGTCTTTT